AAAAGTACAAATGTGCTTGACACAATGGATGGATGTATGGATTGTGATAAGAATTGTATGAGCCCCCAATGAAATGATTTAATTTAAAAAATGCTCTTGGTCTTTAATACCAAATATCATGTTTGGAAATAGTCAAAAATAATTTGGCTACACCAAAATGTTAGCAGCAAACCTGATGAGTGCTATTTCAGAACACTCTTTTTTTTTTTTTAAGCAAAAGGGAAGAAATTTATTGGAGTCCATACGGGAAACCCTAGAGGGGCCCAGCATCCCCTACTGTGCAGGCATGCCCAGCAAAGGGTCACACCATCCACTGTACTCCCATGTCCCAGAGGTGAGCCCCAAAGCCCCAGGACTGGCTGGGGGTAGGGACCAGAAAACTCATTTCTAAGTAAATATTTCTAGAGTACTTCTTTGTTACCATGGCTCGTGAGACAAAGCATCTTTAAGGTCATGTGGAGCCCAGTGATTATTTAGGGTTCACAGCTCTATTTCAAACTTGTTCTGTGTCGTTAGTAAGTTAACTTTTCTAGGAATGGAAGAAGAAGAAGAGGAATTAGAAGAAGAAGCAAACTGTACTGAATTGCCTGAAGGTCGCAGACTCTCCAGGGTGATGATGAGTCACATGGACTTGATAGCTGTGAGTTTTGTTTTGTTTAAGTCAGTTCAGACCAACTTGGGCCAAGTACAGGTAGTCCCAATTTATGACAAATACATTTACGATGATCCACATGTACAACTGTCTGGATTTTTTGTTTTCTTCCCCACGCCCTCCAATAACATACATCAGTATTATGTACTATCCATAATGTTGCAAATGTAATTGACTGATTTTCGCATTCTCAATTTTTCAGTCTCAATGCTCAAAGATTGGATTTATGAAGCTACCAATAAGGAAATAGTAATGAAAATGGGGGGAAAAAGGATATTCCACTCACTGTATATACTCAAGTATAAGTCGACCTGAATATCAGCCAAGGCACCTAATTTTACACAAAAACTGCATTTAAAATGTGCTGAAAACCCCGGCTTATACATAAGTATATATAGGATGTCATACTGACTTAGGACAGACTAGGTGGAATGGAACCCCATCATAAGTCAGGGGCTTTCTTCATTACATTTACATATACAAAGCAGCTCTTGTGTGTTTTCCAAACTCAGCTTCATTGGTTTCACACAAAAACTCATGTAAAAACAGTATTTGGACTTAGGCTCTGTGAAAGACACCTGCGAACACAATTAGTCGCCTACAGTGTGTGATGAGAAAGGAGGAAAACTCTCTGCTGTGGAGTTAATTCTGACTCCTAGCAAAACTGCCCCTACTGTTCCCGAGTATAACTTTTTGATGGATGAGAGAGCCTCTTCTTTCTCCCTCAGAGCACCTGGTGGCTTTGAACTGCTGATCTTGCAGATCGAAGCCCAAAGTGAAACTGCTACACCAGGAGAAGACAAACCAAGGTGGACAGGTAGGGCTCTGTGGTTCTTATGGCTATTCCATAATTCTCTGCCTCAAGTGTAAGGTTGGAGCCGGAGGTGGACCAGATGTAGAATTTAGCCAGGAATGTGAAGTTGAGAAAGATTTTATTGAGGCAGGGAAAAATTCCAAGGAGGGAAGGGAGAGCAGGGAAAGGGATGCTCCCCCACCCTGCCCCATGGGTTTGGAGACCCAATGAGTTAGGTCAGGGAAGTCACACCTGGCAGGAGGCAATGGGACTTATTTATACAGGGTATGAGCTTAAAGGCATATGAGCCAGTAAGCAAGAGGGAGGTTCTTTGTGCTACGGTTGCAAGTTTCGGGCCAGGTGACATTTTGTTAGGAAATCATGTTGTTCCCAGGAAACAGTGTTAAGGGGGGGGGGGCTGTGTTCTGTCCGGGAAGGTCACCTTGTTCTTAGGAAACAATGCTAGGGAGAGGGGGCTGTTTTCTGTACGGGGAGGTAATCTCTGTGAAACGTTGAAGGCAGGTGCTTTGAAGTTCAGGTGTTTTGAAATTCAGCCAGGTCATTTGTCTTCTCGAGAAGCTGATACAAGGGGCTGCCTTGGTCCAGATCCAGCCCAAACATCAAGCACCCCCAAATTTGAGAAAATCAGAAATTCACCATGCCGTTTTGTATTTTACAATCAAGAAGTACATACTCCTAAACCTAATGGCTTCAAAAGTCCACAAAAGAGAAAAGGTAACTAGGCTAGCAAGGTTGCTCTTCTAAAATGCCTCAAGGCTGGAATGGTTTTACGTCTTTTCTAAGGAAGAGATGTTTTGAGTCTATGTACTTGAACCCAAAGCTGGGTTCAAGTCAAATCCTAAGAACAGTTGCTCATTAAACATATTTTTTACCATAACTATGTCTGACAAACAGGCAAGGTAAAAGGGAAGGCGCATAGAATATTGGGTTGCAGGGGAAGGAATACAGAATCTTTTCCCTTTCATTAACCTTCTGTTTTCCTTGTTACTAACATCCTACTCCCAAAATTATCAAATAGTTTATCTGCTATAAAAATAAGTTACATTTTATTAGACCCATGAGGAATAAAGGAAGCATATGTGGAGTTAAGTTGAAGATGTTCCTTTCACAAACTGGAATTCAGATGTTGGGGTTAAGCAAGTAATTATAATAAGAATTCAGATGGTCAGGTTGCTAGAGGGACTCAGGAATGTCCTTAGCTATCAAAGGAGATAGAGTTTTACAACTCTAGCCAAGTGGAGAAACAACTGCTCTGTGTGTGTGTGTGTGTGTGTGTGTGTGTGTGTGTGTGTGTGTGTAAGAGAGAGAGATCGAACTCTTTAAACCATAACACTCTAAATGTGAAATAGCTAAAAAATACAAAGCCACCATACCTTCTCCTTTGATAGTCAACCTCGTTGCTCCATTGATGCTGCCATATTTAGGTATTATTTCTGTGACTTTGGGGATTATTTTAAAGGCATCTGAAACATATTATAGCACAGGAGAGGTAAAAATCATTAAGTTCAAACATCACACTTTATACCACATATACAAATATTTTGTGAGGAAAATTATTATGAAGATGGCCAGATTGAAAGTTTCATTTATTGGCCCTCCTATTAGCCAATGACTGGAGTGTAAAGGACTAGGTTATATGGTTAGTTAATTCTCATTCTTCTATTTGCAGAACTCTGTCTTAGGCACTACAGAACAGGATTTAGGTCTGATATCATTCTTACCTACCACATTGCAAAACTTTTTGTTTTTAACTCTTAATTTCAGACAAGGGCCGGCTGTTTGCCATTTCATAGCAATGTTTACCAACCCACCTAACAGCCATGATGGCTTTGTGGAGAAACATGGTCATTATGAAAGCTTATAGGAAATGGAATGCTAGGTAGGTTGAAAGACCAGTCCAGGTACAAAGAGGAATGTTGTGTTTTAAAAAGAAAATGTTTCCTAAGGGGCTAAGGGGACGTCTGGAAAGATGCCCTCTAGCATTTTTCTAGTTTCTTGAAGGTTGTGAGTTCTTAATTTAAAGTTTACCAATTCGCTCAACAAACTGTACTCCCGGGAATATTAAAACAAGCAATCGCCCCACTTTCCCAAAGTTGAAACTAGGCAGTACAGAGTGGCAGATGAGCCCAGGGCCCTTGAAGGATTCAAAGGGGACATTTTACCCAAATTATCAGATCCTCTTGGCTTCTGGAAAGAAGGGAGCCCCTGTTGCAACTTGCAGGGAAGGAAATTCATTAAACAGGACCAAGGGGGTTCTAGTCCGAGGGAGAAATGCAGCTGCTGTCTTTGGGAAACTGCAAGTGATGTTTGAAAACAACTGAAAGATATACGGTGGCTAAAAAGGTTTATTTTACAGAGCTGATACTTCTTAGTCTTATACTAATTCGCGGAGTAGGTGAGGAATGCAAAGGGCAAAAAACATCTAAATTGGTAAGTGGCTTGACATGGATGTATGGGGGGAAATGAAGGTAAGTATGACTGTGTAATTCAGTCCTAACTGAAAAAGCATTTCGTGTGGACTTCACCTATCAGGGCAGATAGTCCCCATCAAAAAGGAGACCACCTGTCAGCCCCAAGCCCTCTCCCAGTACGTGGAGTCTGTCTTGGCCCAGAGCTCCCAGCATTTGTAACTCCCAGCAGCCCACAGCCAAGAGTAGGAAACTCCTGAGACCACAGAGCCGGATCCTATCTCCAGACCGTGCTGCTCCTCAACTATCTCAGGTTCATCCTCCTCCGTTATCTCCGCAGACAACTCCAATTTCTTATCAGTCGCTTCCCAGCACTCTCCTGGGGATTACTTTGAAGATACGGCAGCTGCCTCTGGAAATGACAGACACCCAACTACAAAGACCCATTCCTGTACTCCTACCTTCCGTTTAGCGGGTCAGCAGCCCCAGAAGAGGGAGGGCTAGGAGACCTCAGCTTGCACACTCTCACCAATTTAACTTTTCTTTCATCTGCCCTCAAGGTTATACTTCTGCCGCCATCCTCAAGGTCAGCAGTTCAAAACCACCAGGCGCCCAGTAGGAGAAAGACGGGGTTTTCTAACCCCCTCAACAGTGAACTCCCCTGGGGCAGCCCTCCCCTGCTCGGTAGGGTAGGAGTCAGCACTGACTCGATGGCAGTGTGTTTGTTTTTTCAGCTGAGTCCGTCGGAAGGAAAAGTTCAATCATCCATACAGCGATACTGATGGATTCTAAACACCCTCCCTCACACACTCAGTGCTGCCTTCCAGGACCCGCGAGTTCCCAGGTCTCCGACCAGGACAGACCCGAGGGGGTCGGAGCGCACGGGGAGGATCTACGCAGACTGCCACCTTCTTGCCACCCAGTGCCCAGGTTAGACGGGTTACCTGTGCGGCCCTCCACGACACCCATGACCAGCGCCCAGAGGACCCAGCCCGCCGAGAACCACAGGGGTCCCATCGCGGGAAGCCAAGCCCGCGCCCTCTGCTCGCAGCCGACGTCTGTCCGGGCTCGCCCAGCGCCGTACTCACCTCCCAGCACTGGCGAACGTGGCCCCAAGCCCGCCCCGCCCTGCTCCCCTGGGCGCGTCTGGTATTTGCATCTTCCCACCCCCTCGGGCGCAGCAGGCTGCAGGCCAGTCTAATCAGCTGGCCTCCGCGCTCCGACCCGGTACTTGCCACCCCAGGCTGTCCCCAGAGGTGCCATGGCCCTACTCCTTTTGGCGGGGGTGGGATTGGGTAGAGGGTGACAATGGTCAAGCTGATGTTTCTGCCGACCTCGCCTTTTCTTTTCTTTAAAAACAATACAAACAAACAAAAAAACATTCTGGGCCAAAATTCATTTGCCTTTCTGCCCTGGCCCTCAGAGGTGCCTTTCAGTCCAACTGATGCACCACCTCACCTCACATTTCCTGGTTCATGCATCAAGTTTGTGGTTGTTGTTCTTGTTAGGTGGCGAGGAGTCAGTTCCTACTCACTTCCAACCTTATGTACAACAGAATGAGATACACCATCCTTCAATCACCATCTTCAATTGCTATATTTGAGCCCATTGTTGCAGCCACTGTATCAATCTATCTTACTGAAAGTCTTCCTTTTTTGCTGCCTTGGTACTTTCCCAAGCATGAGGTCCTTCTGCAGACTGGTCTCTCTTGATAGCATGTCCAAAGAGAGAGGAAGCTTCACCATCCTTGCCTCTAAGGAGCACTCTAGCCTTTCTTCTTCCAAGACACACTCATTTGTCTTTTAGACAGTCCATATATTCTTTGCCAGCACCACAAGTCAAATGCATCGATTCTAAACTTATTATTGACAATCATGCTAGTATTTGTTGATGTCTTGGTACATGCTTAGGACTGCGCCTAGTGCTTTTTAGATGTCAATGCACAAGAATCCCCCCAAAGACTATTCTTATCTCCCGTGTATGGAGCCCAGAGAGGTTAATTAACTTGTCCATGAGCGAAACAGAAGTGCACAGTGAGCCCTTAAAGCGACTCCAGTCAGTCTTAGCCCCTCCACTGCCTTCCAATCAATGGACTTCAGCTACGGGCCTGCTGAGGGCTTACTGTTGCCATACAAGGAGGCCCTGCACTGTTTTTCTGTGCCTGGGCTGTCAGACAGCAGGGAAAAAGGACCCATGTGTCCCCATCCTCATGGAGCTTATAGAATAACATTTCCTGTCTACTGATCCTGCGGGATATCCCCACCCATCTTCACCATTCTTAATATTCACACTTCATTTCTCCTTAGCTACTCATGTTCTTCTAAGTTATCAAGTGAGTAATTCTACCCACTCCACCTTCCCATTTCTCCTTTTACAACTTCTCTTACAAGATGCTTGAAAGTGTTCTTACAAGATACTTGAGACATAATAGCCAAATCAACACATAATCCTTGATTAGATCCTGGGTTGTTGGGGGTTTCTTTGGGGTGTGGGGTGGGAGTGGGGGCAGGAGAGAGGTTATCAAAGACAATTAGGTAATTTGAAAATGCATCAGGTATTAGAGATTAATATGGGAATGTTTATGTTATTAGGTATAATAGTGATCTCATGTTTAAGTAGAATGCTCCTATTTTGGGGGATAACATGTGGTATCTCTGTTTGTCATACTGAGATGTATTGTGTGCTGCTCTAATGCTAGAAGCAGTGTCACTGGTATTTCAAACAGCAGCAGAGTCACCCAGAGTGAACAGGGGTCAGTGGAGCCTCCAGACTAAGATCAGCCAGTGAAGAAGGACTCTGCTCCCCCCTTTGAAGGAAGAGCTACTGAAAAACTTATGCAGAGCTCTGAAGCATTGCAGAATAATGAAGCCTAAACCAAGGCTTCAGAACCTTGTCAGAGATACTGCCAGTGGACTGACACTTCAGGTCTGAGGATACTTAAAATGTGACTGAAGAGGAGCTGATGTCCTGGAGGGGAGTCAACCATGGTGATGCGGATCTAGTACAGCCTGTAGGAGCGGAGATTTGAAGATCTTCATTTGCTGAAGGGGCACGACTCAAGGTGAAGAGAAATAGCTACAAAATCTCCTAATGATTGGAATTTGGAATGTACAAAGGATGGATCTAGGAAAATTGGACGTGGCCCAAAATGAAATGGAACACATGAAGATCAATAATCCTAGACATTAGTGAACTGAAATGAATGGTATTGGCCATTTTGAATCAGAAAATCATATGATTTACTGTGCCAGGAATAACACAATCAAGAGGAATGGTGAGGCATTCATTGTCAGAAAGGATCTTGCTGAATCTTTCATGAAGTACACTGCCCTCTGTGATGGAATTGTTTCTATCTGCCATCCAATCAATACAACTACTTTTCAACTTTATGCACCAACCACAAAAGTTAGTGATGAAAAAATTGAAGAATTCTACCAACGACTTCAGTCAGAAATTGATCAAACATGCAATCGAGATGTATTGATAGTTATTGGTGATTGGAATGCAAAAGTTGGAAAGAGAGAAAAGAACAGTAGTTGGAAAATAAGGGCTTGGTGGTAGAAATAAAGTTGGAGAACACATGATAGAATTTTGTAAAATCAATGCCTTGTTCAAATATCTTTTTTCAACAACACCAAAAATGACTGTTCATATGGAATACACAGAAAAAATTTCATTTGTGGGGAGACATGATGAAGCAGCTCAATATCAGCAGCTAAAACCAAACCAAGGAATGACTTTGAAACAAACCATCAACTGTTCATATGGAAGTTCAGGATAAAGCTGAAGAAAATTAAAACAAATCCACAAGAGTCAACATATGACCTTGAGTCTATCCCACCTGAATTTCAAGAGCATCGCAAGAACAAATTTGACACATTAAATACTTATGACAGAAGACCTGATGAGCTATGGGAGGACATCAAGACCATCGTTCATGAAGAAAGCAAAAGGTCATTAAAAAGGCAGGAAAGAAAGAAAAGGTCAACATGGGTGTCAGAAGAGACGCTAAAACTTGCTATTAAACATAGAGCAGCTTGCTTTTAATCGTAAAGCAGCTAAAGCAAATGGAAGATGGATCAAGTTGGGGAGCTGATTATAAAATTTCAAAGAGCAGTTCAAAAAGACAAAGCCAAACACTATAAACAAAATGTGCAAGGACCTGAAATTTGAGAAAACCAAGAGGGAAAAAGAACACGTTCTGCATATCTGAAACTGAAAGAACTCTAGAAAAATTCAAGTCTTGAGTTGCCATTTTGAAAGATTCCCTTGGCCAGATATTGAATGATGCAGGAAGGATCGAGGTGGAAAGCATATACAGTCACTGCACCAAAAAGAACTGGTTGACAGTCCACCATTTCAGGAGGTAACATATGAGCAAGAACCAATGGTGTTGTAGGAAGAAGTTCAAACTGCACTGAATGCATTACCAACCACAAGGCTCTGGGAATGGATGGAATACCCATTGAAACGTTTCAGAATGCTTCAGAAGCACTGGTAGCACTCACTCATCTATGACAGGAAATTTGGAAGAGTAGAGAAACAAATTTTTTAGACGCTCATGTGTAAGAAAGAGCTTTATATAAAAGAGTCATTGTATATTAAGAAAACATCTCAGCCACGTTCGGATCAAGTCCATAAGTTAGATATTAGCCCATGAATTCCTCTTCAGATTCACATAGCACATACAATGATGCCAAATGCAGGAAGATTACAGGCCAGTGGGTGAAAAGTCTTGTGGACCCAGTGGCGGTGAGAGCATCTCAGCGTCAGCGTGAAGCTCCTCCAGGTCTCTGAGTGTGGCTCCTCATGGCTTGTCAACAGAAAGGTGAAGCAGAGAGAGTGTGGCCCACCTCTCAGGATAAAGAGAGGAAGTTCCCAGAATCCTCATGAGAAGGCACACCCACAAGGAAACATAATCAGGCTGTAACCTGATTGACAGGCTAGACTCCATCTCTTCATTCTATTTATCAACTTGACATGAAATTATGTAACTACCACATATCCATCCATTGAACAGGGCAATGTGTGTTCCCAAAGATCCCTGGTGGCACTGTTGGACTGCTACACCAAAGGGTGGTTCAAACCTACCAGCTGCTTTCCAGGAGAAAGATGAAGCTGTCTTCTCCCATAAAGATTTACGAAGTTTTGCGAGCCCTATAGAGCCACTTTGAATTTCAATAGGGTCTATATCAGTGGGTTTGGTTTTTTGGTTTGTGTGCTCCTAGTTCTGTGCTAAGTACTCTATAAAATGAGAGCACATACTAATTTGTTAAAAATCAACTTTTGTGAAGTCAATTAGTCAACGATCAACTTACTGAATGACTAATTTGTCAAATTTACCTGATACAATTGCTGTAGTTTAACAAAAATACTTAGCAGCTCTAAAAGGATTGTGGAATTTTTGCTTGTTGTTAATGGCTGTAGAGTTGAACTTGACTCATACCTACCCCATCTGGGCAGAGCAGATTGTCATGCCCGTATTCCAAGGAAATGCTGGGTGGTTTCAAACCACTAGCCTTTTGACTAGGAGTCACGTGCTTAACAATTTGTTCCACTCAACTATTCCTTTAGTTTTGCTTATTCCATGAAACTTAGAGCCGTTGATGCCTTGATTTAGGAGCAGTGAGAAATTGACAAGGGATTGATAGTCTCTCTTGCAGAATAAGAGGGAATAAGGAATGCACCTGTGAATGTTTCACTTAACTTGAGCAGTGTGCTATTGCTCCGTTTATAAACGACACTGAATGGCGCGAGGCGACGAGCCAAATGGACTATCTGAAAACAATAGCTTGCATTCCACAAAGTATTCAATGTCCTAAGCATGGAGTGGCAGTGATGAGAGTCCGCGTGAAGCTCGTGTTCTTAACGAAGGTGGACAATAACCAATAAGTGAGCCTCAGATGTAATAAGTTACCAAGTAATGCACTGTAAAATAAAATTGTGGAGGTGGGGGTGGTAGTCGCAACATTTTT